GATTTGATTTCCACCATGATAGCAGCAATGACAATTGGTCAAAAGCATCGCGATCGCAACTACTTTTGCAACTGGTGACAACCGAATCTTTGCCAACATTTTGAACGTAATGTAGGACCACAGTGTCTTGAGTAGCTTGAAGTTCCACTCGACGGATTGCCTCACGCGACTCATCCACTTGTTAAATTCAAGCTTCTGCGCCGACAAGTTGTTGCCTTTAAACCCCGAGATTAGGTAGGGTACAATACCGTAGGCGGGATCGCCATACATCAGCTTGCCATCAAACACACCGCGATGCTGACCCAGATATGTGATCAATCCACTGAGGCGGAGCATTGTAGTGTCGTGTCGTCGCCCTTCGACAGGGCCGAAAAAATGCACACACAGGCCATCCGGAACGGTGACGGCTTGGTAGTTGAGGCAGTGAATGCGCTTGTGGCCGCTGTAGATTTGCTTCTGCAAGTTATCCCCGGTCCCGGTGGTCGTGATGCGGCACGTTTGAACTTTGGTGCCGTCGATGAATCCAAAAACGTTGGACAGTGGGGCGCCCTTGGACGCAACAGCAGCACAGTACCGGTTGATATTCTTTTGGACCAACTTTTTATTGAAGAACAGCAACGACCCCCAACGCTCGTATAGGTCGTTGACCACGTGCAGGAAAATTTCACACAATGACGAACGCGAACGGCCAAAGGTTCTCGACATTGTGTGGAACCGGACTGGAAAGGCCAACCGTCCCAGCAAAATGCACAGTGCTTCGTCGCGGTGCACCCGGATTCGATTGCTGGTAATAACCACAGCAGGCAATCCAAGTACATATCCCAACTCCTTGATGCCAGCGACATCAAAGCGGTAGTCCAAGGTTGCGTTTGCATTTGTCGTAGACTCCAACGAGAAACGAATGGCAGGGATAATGGGCCGTTCAATTACGTTCGAAGCGATAATCGCCAGAAGGGTATGGCGCTGACGTGACGTTGTCGCCAGAGGGAGGAGCATCAGAAGGTTCGACTGAGTGATTGACATGGATGCGGTGGAGATGCTCTAAGAGCATCTCCAACGCGGGTGGGGTCCCTATCCCAACTCTGTATCTCAAAACTTCGGTTGTACCGTTACGTCACGTTACAATACGGATAATTCGGGGCTTATCCGGGCGATTTTGTCCCCAAATTATGGGGATGTCGCTAAAATGTTCAGTTATTGGGACGTCCGAGCGAAATGGGGACAAAAACACCCGGATACATCCCCAAATTATCCGTAACTTCGATGGTGCCACTGTTGTAACAGGTTTTGGGGATATGGACATTGATATAGGGACTCCGGTTAATTGAGTTTGGATTATCATTTTTAAGACATTCCTCCGCGAGGGCCGACACTAGAACCACATGTTATGAACCGCTTCGCCAATTGTAACGCGCCTGCACGACCAGGGACGGTGTGTAATCTTCGGTGTTTACTTCGCTCAACGCTTCATACCTCGTGCTTCGACCGATCTGCTTCGAAGTTCTTCCTCGTCTTCGTACGCGGCCCTTATTATCCGGATTCCCCAGGGGAGGGACGGATAAATTCTTGCGGAAATAATCCGAGGAAGCGGGGGATCGAACCCACGACCTTTGAGTTAAGAAACCGATGCTCTACCACCTGACAGTGAGCTATAATATCCAACAAGTCCGAGGTTTGTTTAACCTTCGAGCTGGGGCTCGTTCGCCAGGCATCCCCCGAACAAGCCATCCTTTCTTCGGCACTGTGAAGGAAACAAGCCAGAGTTTTTGTTCATGGCCCAAGAAGAAGTTATTCAGCTTGGCATACCATGCCCCACCGGTGACGAGTCATCCAGCGAAGTCGGCAACCCGCGTGACTCCCGAAGACTGGACCAAGTACATGCGTTTTGTTCGACGAGCGTGTCGTGCACCAACACCGGTTCAAGGCGACGTCTGGCTTCGACTCATCCTTCACATGCTTCCCGTCAACAGCCGGTTTGCCTACAAGCAACTCACCGACCCTGAAGCCATTACATGCGTTTATGGATGCGGTAATGTCGAAACCGAGCATCATGCCTTCCACACGTGCAATGAAGTCTTTCCGACATGGCAATTTCACGCAAGAGCCTGGCGTTGGTTTGGGGTTCATTTTGACTGGGCCACCATCTCCAACATTGACTCGTTCAATGTCAGCCCGACTTGCGCTGCAAACAAACCTGCGCTGTTCAAGCTATGGACACTGCTCACAGCATCAGTTCTGCACACGATCTGGACACAGCACAACGCCATCAAGTACGACGACAAGACACCCTGGCCACAACGCGTCTGGGAAGAAACAACTTTCATCGGCTGGATGGCGGCCGTACGGCGTTGGCTCCGATTTCAAGATCCAACCGACGCTCTTCGCATCAACGTGCTTGCGCAACTGGCAAAACCCAAGCGCCAGCGCCCGTACAACACACTCTGGCTCAAGTACCCCAAATGCTTGATCCTCGAATTTTCAGCTCCAACTCCGTAGCGCTTCATACACCCTATATATTCAACACCCAAAACCACTGTGCTCCAATTTCAAGTAGGCCGTACCTGCGCAAACGGATTCGGGATGAGCCCTCGGGCAACATTAGTATTGATAGCGATATTAGTTATTAATATACCTCCCCTTTGACAGTGAGCTATAATATCCGGTTAAAATTTTAATAAACCTCCATTGACTATGAGCTATGACTCCGGTTGGAGATGATCTAAGGTAACTTGAATAATGGTTGGGTGCGTTGTTTAAAGTTACTTCATCGAAGGCGATGATTGGTTGTTTGAAGGTGGTTTTACAGGCACTTTCGTAAAACAAGTTGTTTGCAGTTTTCATTCTGGCAAACAACTTGTTTTACGTCAACACGTCAAGGTGCTTGCCGCAATGAAACTGAAGCAGCTATGGCCACATTCATGACCTCCCATCCGTGATCACTGCAAACATTAACTACTCCGAGTAAGTTATAACATTAAGGATGTAGTTAGGCTAGTCGTCGCTCTGTCCAATGATTCAAAGCTATGTCATACGTAAAACACTTTGAACTGTATTATCGTTAGTACGATACGTGGAAAGCAATAGCGCACTACAACTACACGATGTATAGTACTCCCATTTCACATCCTAATACGGTATGCATCGTGATGAACTGGTGGTTGCCCTGCGTAAGTTGGCCTGTGCTGCAAATCGATTAGTTAGCGGCGAAATAAAGTAAGGCCGGGTCTGGATGCCACGAAAAATGGCATAAAATGGCTGTTTTTCGAAGAAAAGTTGGCAAAATCGAAATATTCCATTTTTCGAGATTTTGTACGTCTGGATGCCACCAAAGTTCATTACTTTATGCCACAATTTTCTTGAGAATCGAATGTTTTATGGCATAAAAGAAAACATGGACCAATTTGGTCCAACTTTTTTATGGAGGTTTGTGGTTCACGTTGAAGTCTTGCACATCAATCGAAAATCGAACAATTTTTCCATAATTCAACTGGCATCCAGACAACTTTGGATATTCTTCTTTTCTCGGTTTTTTCATGGGATATGAGACTTTGGGGGTTGAGTGCGTTGTTTAAAGTTACTTCATCGAAGGCGATGATTGGTTGGTTGAAGGTGGTTTTACAGTCACTTTCGTAAAACAAGTTGTTTGCCGTTTTCATTCTGGCAAACAACTTGTTTTACGTCAACACGTCAAGGTGCTTGCCGCAATGAAACTGAAGCAGCTATGGCCACATTCATGACCTCCCATCCGTGATCACTGCAAACATTAACTACTCCGAGTAAGTTATAACATTAGGGATGTAGTTAGGCTAGTCGTCGCTCTGTCCAATGATTCAAAGCTATGTCATACGTAAAACACTTTGAACTGTATTATCGTTAGTACGATACGTGGAAAGCAATGGCGCACTACAACTACACGATGTATAGTACTCCCATTTCACATCCTAATACGGTATGCATCGTGATGAACTGGTGGTTGCCCTGCGTAAGTTGGCCTGTGCTGCAAATCGATTAGTTAGCGGCGAAATAAAGTAAGGCCGGGTCTGGATGCCACGAAAAATGGCATAAAATGGCTGTTTTTCGAAGAAAAGTTGGCAAAATCGAAATATTCCATTTTCGAGATTTTGTACGTCTGGATGCCACCAAAGTTCATTACTTTATGCCACAATTTTCTTGAGAATCGAATGTTTTATGGCATAAACAAAATGGACCGATTTGGTCCAACTTTTTTATGGAGGTTTGTGTTCATGTTGAAGTCTTGCACATCAATCGAAAATCGAACAATTTTTCCATAATTCAACTGGCATCCAGACAACTTTGGATATTCTTCTTTTCTCGTTTTTTTCATGGGATATGAGACTTTGGGATATTTTTGCAGACTTGCCAAAACGGTTTATGGCATAATTTTATGGGGTGGCATCCAGACCAGCCCTAAGGTTTTTTTTATTCTGCTGAATTGGGTTTTGCATGTTTTATCTTCAATGGGGTTTATATATTATTTTAAACGTCTGATTGTTTAACGCAGTTAAACAACGGGCAAATTTCATGAAAAACACATTAACTATTGCTGCATGGTAATCAACTGAACGATTAGTTGGATGCGTTCTAACGGCATGTTAAAATCTCGCAGGCCAAACAAAGTTTCAATCGATTCCACCATTATGTTCATATTCCACACTACCTCTAAGAGCATCTCCAAAGGTGTTTTTATTTCAATTTCAATTCGAAGTTGCGGATATAGGATAGAAACTCTTGCATTATCCGGAGGGTTTGTTGCTATTTCACGCGAATATAGAAATTCTGCGGGACGTAATTTCAACCGTAAAAACGAAATTTGACTTTAACCTACCTGGTATGCTTTAGCAATAGGTTAGAACTTACCGTTGGATGCTCTAAGCTTACGAACGGCACCACAATCCGCCCTCGGCCCCTTCATGGCGGCCTTGGACACATCCGTCGGCATATACCACTTGATTTTGGTAATGTAGCACCCCACACACAGGAGTGCTTTTCGATCTGAAGGGTTTGCATTTGTGCTTGGGGGTGCTGGACGGCGTCGAGGTCTAGGTGGAGGGGACGTTCGTGATCGGTTGAGGGGTGTGTTTGAGGTGGGTGTTTCGGATGTTTTCGTCTTGGGGGGGGCGACGACGATGGAGATGACCAGCTCGGGCTGGGGGCGACTATTACCATCAGCGAGTACATCGTTGGACGCCAAGTTCAGTTCCTGGAGCTGCCGAATGACCTTGTCCATCTTGACCGCGCCGTTGAGAGTGCTGGAGCCGCTGTCCATGCAATGCACCCTCAACAGTTGTGCATCACCACAATGGTTTTATCGATCGTACTGAGAACGGCGCTGCTTTCCGTGTCCAAACGGTAGCCGATGCAGCCAGAGTTCCAGCTCAGGTGGAGATCACGCCCGTGTCCCCGCCATCCGTGACGCTAGCAATGCGCGAGGGCTCCCCAGACGGGTGATGTATATTTGTTCGTTAAGCACTGGCTTCTCGAGTGGAGGTACCAGTAAGTGGCCAACGACGCCCCGGGGTTCACCTTGAGCTTGAGTAGCGTTGAGTCCTGCGTAGGGTTGGTTTTAATGAGCTCAGCGCTGGTCGCGATGACCATGCCGTCGCACGAGCCTTCTTGTTGGTTTTGCACTTAGCCGCAAATAACTCCACTTGGATGGCTGCTGCGCTTATTGCGCTGCGGACGCAGTGGTTGTTGGTGATCATGTGGCCTTCCTAACCAAACAGCGAATCCGTGCACCCACTGCTGCTCGTGATGACGAGGCTATTTGATACCTTTTGGCTTTATAACACACGACCGATTACGAGTCCTTACCACCGCAAATGCTCTGGGGGTCTGCGTCAGGCAAACCGCTGGCGACTCGATCGGTGAGGATTGCGATTTGGCCTTCGAGATCGTGGGGGTTGGAAGGAGTGGAATACGTGACTAAGGCGCGGGAGCCAGTGACGTAGTTGGCGTCAAAATTGTCATGGGCATGCAGTTGACGGTTTGCGATCCGTCTTGGGAGATGACTTGCACGAAGCGGTGGTGGAATGTGTTGAAATCTGCACGAGTTGGTCCAATCAGCGTGAGCTATGTCCCCAGCTATGGCAAAGGCGAGAAGGAAGTTGGGGGAGAAAATGCTTGGAATACGTGGCTGATTTGGATATGCACCACTTTGCGGATGTCTAGTGGTGTCTCACGACTGCCTTTGCCAGATCCGAATGCCGAGCTACGGACGGCAATTAAGCTAAACTCAAATTGTACGCTTGTACTATCATTTTCTCATACCTGTTGTTCTACTTGTCAACATGTCCGAGTACACCAACACTATTACGGCGTGTGATTGCATTTAGTACAACGCACATTAGTCTGATGGAAAATGTGCAACGATAGTGGCGTGAAAAGTAAACCCCGAAAAAGACAAGAGAGAGGCAATGGCATCTGAAATCTCTATCCTATGGTTTCGCCCGTCCCCAGAACATAAAGCACTCCGAAAACCCCGGGCTTTGACCCCAGGATCTTCTTAACATAACTACTTTGCCTCCATACGCACTCCTAAATCGTCGTAAAAGCCCCATAAGCAGGGCTGGGGAAAAATATATTTAAATTAATTTTAGCTTGTCAATATATAATTTCAATATATTGTCGTTCGGAAGAACAATTCATAATTTTATTGAAATTTGAACAACCGAAAAATTCAATATTTCTGAGTATTAATATTCGAACTCATCGAACTCGTCATCGTCACCCTTCATCCTCTTCGTCAGGACTTGTGTCGTCAGCACGGTGGCGAAGAAGTTCAAGCACGGCAGATTCGAAATGATACTTGGCACATTGTTGGGTAGTGGAGCCATTTCCATTGGTAGCATGGTACATTTCAAAGGGTGCTGCGGCACGACGTGTCAATTCTAATGGACACATCGCCCTTTCGAATGATC